CTCTTTTCAGCTATGTAACTATGTAACAAAAGAACTACTTGCATTGACAAAATTTCATTCAACAAACAATTTGCTCTTCATTTGATATAATTTGTATTAATTTATTCATGTTTTGGACAAACAGACAAATTGTCGAAAATTCTGACAAAAAAATGTTAGTCCGAAAATGAATGCCCAAGTTTAGTGTACATTTCAGAGAAGTGACAGTTCATTTGTAATGAGAATCATTTATACCCAACTGCACTATTACAAGCCCTAAGAGCTGCACATTTTTATCCTAACTTCTTGCTGCCCATAATAAATCTGTTAATTTCTTCCTTAGCTGACCACCTACTGATAATGGTATCTTTCAGACATTAAACTATGCATGTCCACTATGTTTTTTTATATGGAGTTCCCTTATTGGCCTTGCTTGTAGACAATCTCAAAACAACAGTGAACAGTCTGTCTATTGATGAGCCTTTTAGGATTGAACTCTTTCAAAATATGCTGCACACAGAAAGATTCTGTACAAACAGGGTTTTATGACAAAACACTGTAAAGAGCAGGGCATTGAGCAAAGGCGAGCATTGTTGCAGGATAAATAAAATAATTAAGAGAGCGCATACAAAATCAAAACTAAAAGTAATAATAAATGGTACTTGAAGTACCCTGTAGATACAGCTGCTAGACAAAAAAATAATTTTCCCAATTCCTATAACAGAGTACTAAAGATATTGTCAGCGCTTAGTGAATACTCCCCTTGAGATAATAACAAGGGTGCAAATATGTTAAGATAATATTGCAATAAACATCTAGACTCCACATGTAACAACTATAAAAAGAAGAAAAGATGCAAATAAAAATATGTATATAGATATAACAATAAAAATATACAGAAGTAGAGAAAAATGTCTCTAAATAGTCCAAAGAAGTCTTATAAGATCAAAAAAGATCAAAAAAGAGAGAGGGGGTAACATCCAATGTCTGAATAGATGGATGGAGACTCAAATAGATGCTTGAACATTCCTAGGCAAAAACAGAGAAAACAAATATAGTGTAACTCTGTAAGGTTTATTGTCCCAGTTTAACAAACAAACCCCCCCCCTAAATATGAACTCTCACAATGTTAAAAAATATATATGCAACAGTAGTACTTATTCCTAAGGACCAAAACGAAGAAACTTTGCGGCTGCTGGTTGTCCCGACAAACTGTCTTTATCTTCAAAGCAGACAGCGTCCACCTCGTGCACTCAGGTGGGCTGTCCGAAAATAAAAATTGTTGCAGGATGCTTATATGGTAAACCTAGGCACACATCTCAATAAAGGCTAAATGTGGTATTTCTCAGTAATGACGGATAAGAACATCAGGCTGATAATGGATAGCAAAAAATGAAAGCATAAACAGTTGTGGGATCAGGTAATGTCAGCAGCCTCAATATAAACTGTTTGGAGGTATTCAATGGTAAATAAAACCTGCACAATGGCTCTGTATGGGCTATATGATAACTTACACTGACTCCAAATGCTCTCCAACGTTTTGCATTCTTTAAACAAATGCCCGAGGCTCCAACATTTTGCATATTTGAAACAGCACCCTGAATATACGATAAATGGATTCAATTGCTTTTTAGGCCACTGCTCACGGCTTACAGATCACGCATTTTACCATCAATAAACCAGAAAGGTATGGTTACATATACAACATTTTTATTATATGTACCAAGTACACAGAGACTAGGAAAGACCTTGAGCTCTGAAAGGTAGACCTGACCAGCATTTGTTGGGGACAGAACTTGAAAGTCAGGAAAACTAAAAAGTTGATTGTTAAAAAATATATATGCAACAGTAGTACTTATTCCTAAGGACCAAAACGAAGAAACTTTGCGGCTGCTGGTTGTCCCGACAAACTGTCTTTATCTTCAAAGCAGACAGCGTCCACCTCGTGCACTCAGGTGGGCTGTCCGAAAATAAAACCGTAAGGAAACAGCTGCATATGAATAAAACAATGTTTTCTTCAACGTCCGTCTACAGGGGATATGTAGCAAAAAAACCCTTGCACCTCATCAACGCGTTTCGTCCTGCTACTGAGGACTTTTTCAAGATAGGTGCTAAATCCATTGTTGGCAGTTTTATACCTTAACGGGCAAAACGAATTCAAATCCTTTAAAGACATATACTCACAATTTCAGCAAATGTATTATGTTAACCCCCTCACCTTCATTCAACATGTGAAATATAAAACATGTGAAATATAAAACATAAAATTACTGGACTATACCCAAGTGTCCAAAAACAATTTCTTGATAACTTATAAATTAAAACAGACAATGTTAAAAGAATAACATGAAAATATAAAAATATGTAAAAATATTAAAATGTTAAAACAACATCTACTTGGCACAAGTCTTATATGGTACATAATTCAATGACCCAAAAATGACTGTACTAAGCCTTTACACTGCTTATTCCAATGTAGCAACTTGTAGCCTAAAGGTTATCAAATATATTGTTAGAAACAATGTCTAAATTTCTAACTAATGTAACAAATAATAACTCTAATGAAAAAAAAAAAAAAAAATGTACATTCTAATGTGGAAATATATAATAAAAATAAAATAAGTAGGATTTTATAAAATACAATTTCTATGTGGTGTACAACTAGTGTCTATAGTATACCACAGTACAGACTGATTTTATATATACATACAGCTAAAAATCCTTATATAAAATCTAACAGCTATAGCTCTATAAAATATTGGCTAACTCTAATTCTGCATTAAGACCTAGAGGGATGAGTGTTTTCAGGCTATATATCCAGAACATCTCCCTATACGTAAGGGCTTTACTCAGTTCCCCTCCTCTCCATGGTACTTGTACTTTTTGAATCCCACAATATTTTAGGAGTGTCGGATCGCTATTGTGGTGTATTTTAAAATGACTGGATAGGGAATGTTTCTCAAAGCCTCTTTTGATATTATATACGTGCTCCCTGAGTCTGACTTTTAATGTCCTCTTGGTTTGACCCACATATTGGAGGCCGCACGGGCACTCCAACATGTAGATAACTTGCTTTGTATTGCACGTGATACAGTCTTTAATATCAAATGTTTCCTTTGTGGCTGAAGACTGAAAAGTTGTGCAGTTTTTTCCTTTAGAGCTTAATTTACATATATTGCAGTTTCCACACTTATAATATCCCTTCTTTTCAGTTAAAAAGTGATTGCCCTTCATTGGTTTAATATAACTATGCACCAATTTGTCTCGTAGAGTGGGTGCTCCCCTAAATATCACCTTTGGTTGTGTGGGTAAAAATGAAGCCAATATCGGGTCTTGACGTAATAAATGCCAGTGTTTCTGTACACTCCTCTTTAGACCATTTGCTTGCGCACTATAGTTAAAAACCAAAGGACATATGTCTCCAATGCCCTTATTAGGTTTAATTTTGTTCAAAAGTGTTGTGCGTTCTACAGTTTTTACTTTTTGGAGAGCTGTATCTAATAGTTCTTCATCGTAGCTTTTTTCTGTGAACTGCTGTTTTACCTTCTGGAGTTGTACATCACATATCTCAGGGTCTGTGCAATTCTTTTTAACTCTTAGAAATTGACTAAACGGGACACCTGATAGCTACGAAGGATAATGGCAACTGGAAGTCCATATGTAGCTATTTACATCCACACTTTTAAAGAAGGTTTTGGATTTTAAGATTTTTTGGTCCGTATATAGGACCAAATCTAAAAAATCTATATTGGTAGAGCTATATTTGTACGTGAAGGATAGATTATATTCATTTTGGTTTATATAAACTAAAAACTCCAGGAGGTCTATTTCTTTTCCTCTCCACACAAAAAAACAGTCATCAATGTACCGTCTATAGAAGACCAGGTTCGCCCCCCACTTGTGGCCTTGCCAAATAAACAGATTTTCCCAATAGGCCATAAAAATATTGGCATAGCTGGGAGCGAACCTAGTCCCCATAGCAGTACCATTAGTTTGTAGATATATGTCGTCCTCATACCAGAAGAAATTGTTCTTAAGTATAAAGTCTATACATTCTATTATGAATTCCACCTGTTCTACTAACATGGTGGAATCCTCATATAGGATTTGTCTTATTGCCTTTATTCCCAAATCGTGTTTGATGACAGTATATAGTGACGTGACATCACAAGTTACCATCAAATAGTCTTCCTCCCATTTGAGGCCTTCTATATTTTTTAATAGGTCTCCACTGTCCTTTAAATAGGACTTCGCTTTTTTTACAAAAGGTTGTAATATTACATCTATATACTGAGATAGATTGCATGTGAGAGACCCTATTCCGGAAATGATAGGCCTACCCGGAGGGTTCGTAAGACTCTTATGTATTTTAGGTAATTGATAAAATACTGGTTTCTTGGGATATATCTCCATAACAAACTCTAGTTCTTTTTTGTTCAATATATTTAGAAAACTACCTTTCTGTAGTATGGTAAATAAACGTTTTTTGGTATCCGATGTGGGGTCTGCCTTTATTCGCTCGTAGGTGAGTTGATCATTGAGGATTCTTTTACATTCTATATCGTAATCCTTTGAATTAAGGACCATAATACCCCCTCCCTTGTCGGCCGGTTTTATTGTTATGTCCCTATTTTCACTTAGTTCTTTTAATGCTTTCTTTTCCCAAACATTCAAATTTTGTTTGTATTTAGCCACTTTTTTCGGTAGCTTATCTATATCAGCCGTTACTGCTAAATTAAAAGCGGACATGGGGCCGCTCATCTGGTTGGTGGGACAGAAAGTGGATTTGTTTCTTAAAGTTGTATGGTGAAAAGTAGTATGTTCTATTTTGGGTATCATAGAACTCGAATTACTCAAAAAGAATTTCTTTAGAGTCAAATTTCTCATGTACTTTTGCACATCTAAATATGCTGTGAATGGGTCTGCTTTAACTGTGGGGGCATATTTTAATCCTCTATTAAGCACCTTAATTTGATGTTTGGTAAGTATGGCGCTAGACAAATTGAAGATTCCTATTTGTTCTACCTTTTCATTTTCTTTTCTCTTGTGATATCTCTTGCCCCCCCTACATCCTCTAAAAAAGGTCTTTTTCTTATGTTGATTTGTGGGGGCTCTCGATAGTTCTGATTGAAATATTGGCTTCTTGGTCCTAAAAAATGATCATTTGATTGTGTATAGTTTTCTTTTGCCCCTACTCGGTCGGTCTCTTCTGTATGGAGTACATCAAACTTATTATATGAACGCCAATTTTTTGTTTGATTGCTTGCCCTAGGTGTTTCTGAGTCATATTTCCCTTGGGGTCTGTAAGGATTTTTTCTATACAAATTGTTTCTTTTCTTGTGAGTGACCGTAGTCCACTCACTACTATTCACTCTCTGAGGTGTATATTGTTTAGGTTGTAGTTCTCCTCGCCTGATATAATTATGCTCTAGAGGATTTTCAGGAGCATATATAGTTTTGTGATTTCTTAAATTTCTGGGGGCATAGTACTTATTGCTCCTAGGGCTAGATTTAAACGATCTCTCATTTTGATTTCTCTTATAACTTCTGACTTTATTCTCTCTAAAGTCCTCCTGGTCTCTATCAAATTTACGTTTCTTTGTGGACACAGTCTCCTCGAATAACGAACTTAATTTTTTCTCTATTTTTTCCATGAGTTGTATACATTCTGGCAGTGCCAGGTGAGGAGAAAGAATTTCTTTTATTTCATTGATTTCCTCATCCAGCACTGCCAACATTCGTTTCCGTTTGCATATGATATGGTTCATAAGTTCAAAGGAGCAATGGTCTAAGATTCTATCCCAAACAGTATTAAAATCCTCATCATCTTTATCTGTGGCTGATTTTAACATGATACGTAAACCTCTCGGGATAATACGTTTCTCCCAATATTTCTCCAACGACGCTATTTCTAATTTAAGTTTCATTTCTTTGACTATTAATTTTTCAAGAGAAAATACTTGTTTTCTCCAATGTGTATCCTTAACACAAACATGCTCATTATCATCATTTTTTAAAGCAAGATCAATCTTACATTGTTCTCTAAACGTGAAAAGAGACATCTTAGGTTGTGATTGCTGCTACTCTTATGTGGGAAAAAGCCAATACAATAAATAAAATAATTAAGAGAGCGCATACAAAATCAAAACTAAAAGTAATAATAAATGGTACTTGAAGTACCCTGTAGATACAGCTGCTAGACAAAAAAAGAATTTTCCCAATTCCTATAACAGAGTACTAAAGATATTGTCAGCGCTTAGTGAATACTCCCCTTGAGATAATAACAAGGGTGCAAATATGTTAAGATAATATTGCAATAAACATCTAGACTCCACATGTAACAACTATAAAAAGAAGAAAAGATGCAAATAAAAATATGTATATAGATATAACAATAAAAATATACAGAAGTAGAGAAAAATGTCTCTAAATAGTCCAAAGAAGTCTTATAAGATCAAAAAAGATCAAAAAAGAGAGAGGGGGTAACATCCAATGTCTGAATAGATGGATGGAGACTCAAATAGATGCTTGAACATTCCTAGGCAAAAACAGAGAAAACAAATATAGTGTAACTCTGTAAGATTTATTGTCCCAGTTTAACAAACAAAAACCCCCCCTAAATATGAACTCTCACAATGTTAAAAAATATATATGCAACAGTAGTACTTATTCCTAAGGACCAAAACGAAGAAACTTCGCGGCTGCTGGTTGTCCCGACAAACTGTCTTTATCTTCAAAGCAGACAGCGTCCACCTCGTGCACTCAGGTGGGCTGTCCGAAAATAAAAATTGTTGCAGGATGCTTATATGGTAAACCTAGGCACACATCTCAATAAAGGCTAAATGTGGTATTTCTCAGTAATGACGGATAAGAACATCAGGCTGATAATGGATAGCAAAAAATGAAAGCATAAACAGTTGTGGGATCAGGTAATGTCAGCAGCCTCAATATAAACTGTTTGGAGGTATTCAATGGTAAATAAAACCTGCACAATGGCTCTGTATGGGCTATATGATAACTTACACTGACTCCAAATGCTCTCCAACGTTTTGCATTCTTTAAACAAATGCCCGAGGCTCCAACATTTTGCATATTTGAAACAGCACCCTGAATATACGATAAATGGATTCAATTGCTTTTTAGGCCACTGCTCACGGCTTACAGATCACGCATTTTACCATCAATAAACCAGAAAGGTATGGTTACATATACAACATTTTTATTATATGTACCAAGTACACAGAGACTAGGAAAGACCTTGAGCTCTGAAAGGTAGACCTGACCAGCATTTGTTGGGGACAGAACTTGAAAGTCAGGAAAACTAAAAAGTTGATAAATATCTGTTTAATACAGCCTCATGGGTGTGTCCCCCAAAACGAAACAACAAATTAGTTATGCAATAGTTACACTGAGCAATAAATCCACCTAACTAATATCGTGTAGGTCCACCTTGTGTCACCAAAACAGATCTGATGCATTGAGGCATGGATGCCACAAGACCTGTTAGTGTCCTGTGGTATCTAGCACCAAGACATTAAGCAGCAGATCCTTTAAGTTGCGAGGTGGGGTCTACATAGATCAGATTTGTTGTTCCAGCACATCCCACAAACGCTCAATCTGATTGTGATCTGGGGAATCTGGGGAATTTGGGGAAGGCAAAACCTTGAACTCGTTATGTTTCTCAAACCATTCTTGAACAACTTTTGCAGTGTGGCAGGGTGAAATATCCTGCAGAAAGAGGTCATTGCCATGAGGGAACACCATTGCTATAAAGGGGTGCACGTGGTCTACAATAATCTCCAGGTAGGTGGTACGTGTCAAAGTAACATCCACATGAACGCCAAAACCCAAGTTTTCCTAGCAGAACATTGCACAGAGAATAACACTGTCTCCGCTGGCTTGGCTTCTTACCATAGTGCATTCTGCTGCCATCTTTTCCCCAGGTAAACAACTCACCTGCTCACCCACCTGATCTAAAAGAAAACATGATTCATCAGACCAAGCAACCTTCTTCTATTGTTCCATGATTCAGTTCTGATGCTCACGTCCCCACTAATAGTGTTTTTGGTGGTGGACCAGAGTCATCATGGCCACTCTGATGGGTCTGTGGCTAGCCCAATAGGCAGCAAACTGCGATGCAATTGTGTGTTTCTACAGATTTCTATCATAGACAGCAGTATGTTTTTCAGCAATTTGAGCTACAATAGCTCTTCTTGTTATCGGACTAGAAGGGCTAGTCTTAACTCCCCATCAGTGAGTCGTGGGCACCCATGGGTACTGATGCCAGTTCACCAGTAGTCCATCCTTGCACAACTTTTGGAGATGCTCTGACCCAGTCATCTAGACACCACTGTTCTAGATCTTCTCTTACCCATTGTCCTGCTTCCAACACATGAAATTTAAGAACTGACTTCATTTGCTGTCTAATATATCCCACCGCTTGACAGGTGCCATTGTAATGAAATAATCAGTATTACTCAATACACGGTGTTTTTCTATGTTGTGGCTGATCAGAGTATGTTGTAGAGTGTCTACTTCATAGAGTGCCTAAAGTGCATCTGTAAGGGTAACTGTAGGGTGTTTTTAAGTTACATCAATATACTACAATGTAAAAAATGCAGATACCAGGATGTAGACTATATGCTTCTTTGGTGGTTATAGGGGCATCTGAGCACAACAACCACCACCCTGCACTTCAGTAGTTGTGGTGCAAAGAATGCCTCTTTAACCATATGTAATTGGATAATGTGAGTACGAAAACCAGCTTAGCTTAGTATTGGTAGGTTTATGCTTTATCTGTAGATAAGGGGATTATTCATTGAACAGTTATTGAATGTGGTATTCCATCTGTTCAGTGTTTAGTAAATGAGTGAATTAATTTAAAAAAAATTAAATTTTCATGCCACTCCTCCCCAATAGCTGTCAGAAACCCACAGTTCAATAGTTAATGGGTCAGTCTATTTAAGATAGTCCCTGTGTTCTGCTTAATATTCCCCCGCCACCCCCCAATATTACAAAAAATACTGCATTACATATTTTATGGTATGTCATCAAAGCTGTTATAAAATGTATTATAATTTTAAAACATAGATAGAATTTGAACGTAGCTCTAACAACTGCAGCACAAGTCATTAAGTGGACTCACAGCATTATACATTTGCTTAGAGCAGGTGTAGGATTTAGGATATAAAAAAAAATAAAAAAAATTCTGCACATATGTGGCTTATTCCATCCAGTAGATACAAGTTCAGTTTATCATCCAGGAGAGTGACTGGCACATTCATTTTTCTTAATGGTGCAGTAAATTAGTTGCACACACTGTTATATACTATTATGATAACCTTTTCTCTCAGAATGATTTTTTTTTAACAGTGGGCACTAGTGAATCCTGCAAATGTTTTACCAGGAATGATACATGGATATTTTTCTTGTTTTAATGTATGACCAAGAGATGAATTTATTAAATTCAAAATGGCTATTAAGATAATGGCATAACAATAAGGTGAACACATTTGCATTTGTTTGTTTAATTTCTTCTACATAACAATGGCTCCTTTCCTAACATTGGTTTGTTTGGCCTTTTCTTTTTGGCTTTGCGGTTTGTTTGTTTTTCTCTAAAATAAATGGGTCAGAAATAGCATTATACCAAATGGTTTACAAAGAGACATTAAACTGAAAATGTAACACCCCCATCAAACAGATGTTAACTTTGATTTGTTTAGCAAATCAGAACAAAAAGAATTTATGGAATTTGTAATAAACTGATCCAATTCATCCAGTGCTTTACTAATTTCAATCTGCAAATGTTGGGATGATGACTCCCGGAAGGACTGATCTGCCAGAATCAACTTCAAAGAGATAGTGATACATTTTAAAATTAAATAACACAGGAAGGTTTGACACCTGCTTAGATGCCCAAATTGGGAATAGTGCCCTGAACGAAAACTACAGAAAGGCACGTATTCCTGGTGTCTTGGCTGATTTTCGATTATGCTTGTCTTTAATCATTGTTATCTGCCTTTCAAACAATTTGGCTGCTACATTTGTTTGTAGAATTTAGAAGCCAGTAAATGATACCATAAATGTACATCATACAAAAATGGTGTAAATGCTCATAGAATTAATGTACTTTGGAAAGAACAAAAGGTAAAAATCGGATTGTAGGATGATAATTTACTTCCTTTACAATTTTGCATTATGTAGCTAATAGTGATCTATTGATGCATTAAATGTAAAAACTATACGACTATAATATCATTACTGCAGGAGATCATGGTGGTACATTTCCAGTCCTCCAGATACCTATTCATCCAAAAAGTGAGTGCACAGAAACGTTTTGCTGTTCTTATATCCATAGTGATAGTGGCATGCAAATTTGTTGCTAACATTATCACTACAGGGCATATTGATTTATAGGTTTAATTCTATTAAGATCTTTAAGACTATTTTTCAAGAGTTAGTTCTGTGCAATATTCCCCAGATCCCTTCAGCTATTCCATTTGCCCCAAGTAGGCCAGGTCTCTATGTGAACTATAATCTAGAATGATGTTGAACACAGATTGTCAAGGGAAATACTCCAGAATCCAATCAGTTCAAACCACATATCCCGCAGAGATATCATAAATTCAAGGATTTAGCAAAAAAAAATAATAATCCACTTTTATTTTATTATAGTTTTGCTTTTAATATAATGTTTGATCTAGTTACAAACCCTGGAGACTAATATTTGGTTTACATTTTGTCTGCTATAACAGGTTAAAAGCAGGGGGACTGTTTGCAAACATGTTTATTTAACATCATTTTTATATTCTCACATTTGCACACGCTGTTTAAACATTTATAGGGATGTGAATAGGATCTAAGTAAGGAAAGGTGTAGTATTAAATCCATAGCTAAGAGGTCCACAAGATCCAGGGCAAGAAGAAAA